CTTTAACAACCTTTTTCGAATTTCTAAATTAACCGTTCGCGAGCATAGAAGTGACTTCTTTTTATTAAAGGCGACACGACCCTGCGCTATCCTCTGCTTTATATCCCTACTACTCCTTCCATCCTCACTAATCTGACTTCCTAGGTATCTAAAATCAGCCACTTCTTCTAATTTTTCGTCTTCTATCTTTATATACGCTCTTTCCCTACTTTTTCTTCCCTTGCATACCAGTATTTTAGTTTTACTTTTATTTATTTAATGATATGCAAAGGAAGAAAAAGTAGGGAAAGAGTAAACATAAAGATGAGAGAAGAAAAATTAGAAGTAGCCGATTTTCGATATCTAAGAAGTCAGATAACTCAGGAAATTTTCGGGAAATGTGGAGATTAGCTCAAGATAAGAGAGAGTGGAGGTGTATATCCCACCAGTCTTGAGACTGACGACTTTATGATGATGATGGTGATGATATCGGTTCCAAAGGACATAAAGGAACAAATGTAATTGTCTAAAGATAAAAATCTATTGTCTACCTCCTTTTAAGGTCCTCAGGAGAATAATTTAAGATTCATCAAGTAAAATCAAATTAATTTGCATTCTTTTGAGGTCTGCCTAATTTCGAGACATTACATGACGTCTTAATCTGATGTGACGAAAAGAATTTGACGAAAATTTTGGTATTGTATATACTTATATGCAATAGACTATTAATAAAAGAACTGCATTTAGTTCCTACTTAAATTATTATGTTACATTGCTAAAATATTTAACTAAAAAGGATACTGAAATATTTACTTGCTTTGAAAATGTTTCAATACCTAACGAATTGGTTTTGTGGCCTTCGTATTTCTGAGAATGCGACAATTGTTATACACCCTTTGGAAATTTTGGGATAATAAAAAAAGTTACGTTCTTGAAAACAGTTCTTGTAAAGTAATTTGCATACATCCCTGCCTTCGTACCAATGGTTCGACGGCTTTCTCTTTTATTTGCGATAAAGAGAGATCGTAAACTAGCCATGTTGACTTTTACCAAAACCCTTTGTTAAACTCGGGGTTAACATTGACTAATTTATGACCAGAATGGGAATTGCGATTTTTTCCACTTTTCTGTTGCCAAAAATCTGCTAAGAAGCTGTCGTCTTCAAAATCATAAATTTCGACGAAATCTCAGAAAAACTTGGTCTTACTATACACACATAAAGGGAGTAATACGTATGTTTATTACTTTTTTTTTAATGTACAATAAAAAATAGGTATGTTTAGAAAACTTTTAAACTAAAGTTGTTAAACAATATTGTAGAGTTGATGACAACACATCTCTCACCATCTTTTAACATTCAAATGTAGATTTTAGTTAATATTATTACATAAAACTGCTTTTTCATAAAGCTTTTCCACGAAAGTTTTTTTAAGTAATATATTAATTCAATTCTTTTTTATCAAAGCAATACAGGGGTTTAAATTTATTTTATATAAAAAAATC